TCATTTCAAGATTAAGGGAGAAAGATATCAACATCTTTTTCCTTTCGTGGATAAATTAATGTTCTCTGTCTGTCATTTTTGGAAATGAGAGCCCAGCTCAAGTTGTTTAACAGTTAAAGACTTTACCATTAATGTAGACACACAGAAAATTCTGCCTTTTCCAAACCCAAGACCAAGTTTCTGTTTTCCACAGAAACCATGACCAAACCCCTCTTATGTGCAAACAATAGGTTTGGGTGCACGAAGTATGTTGTGATGAAAAGTGCTGACTGTCATTTGCCTCTATCTCCTAGGAAGTTTTTCTTATTCTTCAGGACAAGAGCTAGATCATAGAGAGTTGCTTTGGGATTCTGAGTGTAGTCTTCAGGGTGTAATTTTTTGACCCAGAGGATTTGATACCTGTATTTCTAGTTGAATAAATTAGACTTTTGCTGAAAATCAGTGGAAGTGCTAAAATCTTTATTTCCATGAACTGTATTTCAGGTGGGTCTTAGAAAATCTCAGACTAGTTTACATTATACAAAGAATAAATATCTATATTATTTCTAGCATCATTTTCCAAATTCTGGAGACTGCTAAAATTGGCAAAATAAAAATAAGTGTTGCATGAGCAACCACATTTCACTTGCAGTGCATCCAGTCATTTCATATTGTTGTGGTAGATGTCAGCAGGTGATGCTATTATACATAGTCTTCCAAGTTCCTTTCCTTGGTGTGTGAGCAAGTTTTTACTCTTGGAAGGAATGTTTGTGGTGGTTGGTAGTCTTAATTATATACTATTCTGGCTGGAGACAGACCTGTGCAAGCAGCAGCAGTGTTTACTGTTGGGTTCCGATTAGAGTCAATTCTGGAGGAAAAGTTGCTCCCCGGTAACTGGGCATTGGTGATGAGGTGAGATTCCTGGGGGAAAAAATTACCTTACATACTGTTTGTGACCAGGACTGGTATATGTGTATAAATAAACAAGTTACACTTAGAATGTACTCCGACACTGTGTCACTGATTTCTCCTATACTGGAAGTTGACCTGCAAGGGTTAGGGTTGCCATGTGTTCGGTTTTTGACCAGAACACCCAATCAAAAAGAGATCCTGGCGGCTCCGGTCAGCACAGCTGACCGGGCTATTAAAAGTCCAGTTGGCATGGGGCTGGCAGGCTCCCAACCTGGCTCTGCGCAACTTCCCGGAAACGGCGATGTGTCTCTTCGGTCCTCCGTGTGCTGCCCCTGACCTGAGCGCCTATTGGCCAATAGGAGCTGCGGGGGTGGCGCCTGTGGGCAGAGGCAGCACACAGAGCCGCCTGGCTGTGCCTACTCCTAGGAGCCAAGGGACATGTTGCCGCTTGTGGGGAGTCGCCCAAGGTGAGCGCCACCTAGAGCCCACAACCTGAAACTCTACCCGCACCCCATCTCCCTCCCAGAGCCTGCACCCCCTCCTGTGCCCCAACTCTCAGTCCAGAGCCCCCTCCCACACCCAAACTCTCTCCCAGCACCTGCAGCCCAAACCCCCTCCTGTGCCCCAACCCCCTGCCACAGCTCGGAACCCCCTTCCACACTCCGAACCCCTCGGACTCAGCCTGGAGCCCCCTCCTGCACCCCAAACCCCTCATCCCCTGCCGCACCCCTAGCTGATGCCCTCCTGCACACCAACCACCTGCCCCAGCCAGGTGAAAATGAGTGAGGGTGGGGGGAACGAGCGACAGAGGGAGAGGGAATGAGTGTGCGGGGGCAGAGCCTTGGAGAAGGGGCGGGACAAGGGTGTTGAGTTTTGTGTAATTAGAAAGTTGGCAACTCTAGCTAGGCTCCAGATTTCTACTACTGCTCAGCAGAGGTGCAACACTGTTTTCAGAATGGGAAACTAGTGTCTGAAGAAGGGGCAACAATATTATTCAGGATAGGAAAGAAATGTACTAAAACAATGAATGCCTTTATGGGCTATATCCTACAAGGTACATAGAAGGCATGGAGGGCGGAAATAATGCTCTGTCAGCAGTATTGATTTCCACCAGATTTCCTGGTGTGTTTCTGCCACGTTTGGAGAGAAGCTTGCTTCCTGGCTCCTCAACTTTCTTTCAAAAATTCCTCCATCCCACTAGTCCTGCAACTGTAGAGTTTCTGCGGCCTTCTGGTATAGGGGGAGAGCATGCTGTTGAGCCCTCTCTTTCCTTCTACTGGTTCTGGAGTCTTTCTCTTCCCTTTTCTCTTTGTCTCACTCCATTCTGCATCATGCAATCTAGTACTAATTGTTCAGGTAGGCAGAGGAACTGAAGAAACTGTAATAATATGTACTTGAACAGTAGAGCTGGGCAAATAATGCAAGTAAATTTATCAAACCAAATTCAATTTCAAATCACTTTTGTGTTCTCTTTCCACAAGTGGACATAGGGTTGAATTTTACTAGTGAGAATGCTTGTGGGAAGAATATTTTAAGCTTGCACACTTAAAACTTACTTCAAATTTGCTTTCCTTAATCCTCCACTTCACCTACCTGATATTCTAAGTCAGCAATGGACTATAAATCATACCATGTAATTTACATGACCAATCACAACGGCCCAAATTTTGAATATTGAGTAACAGAAAGCCTTGGAGTACATTAATGTATGACAGATTTAGTCAAACAATTTTGAATAATAAAAGGTTTGAGTTCTGAATGTAACTAGAAGAAGGGGCAAAATTAATAACATGAATTATTTTTATGAATTATTTGATTTTCTCATCTGAGCAATTCAAATAGTCCTGAAAACCAAACAAAATTTATCGATTTAGTGGGATTTGTTTATATCCTATCATTTTCTAATACTGTGGAGCTTTCTTGCACTGTCCTTAAGAGTAAAACTAGAAACAAAAGAACTCAGTGGCCTTTGGAAGTTAATTATGGTCACTGTTGCTGATATTCTTGGCAGTAGCCTACAGGCAACATAAAAACCATTGAAAGTATTGGCTGGTAGGCGAATTCCTCCTCTGTGTATCAGTATATCAGTGAAATAGAGGGAGATAAAGTAGTAACGTTTGCTTCCTCTTTTTCTAAAGTCTTATTACATCTGCCAAATTCTGCCCTATATTGCAGCTCCCAGCAGTAAAAAATACACAAGCCATTCACCATTGCATTTCTGCTGGTTGAGTGATATTTTGCTTCAGTAGCTCTAATGTTCTAGATGATTAATGATCATTGTAGGCAGATTTGTCCAAGAAAATCTGTTGTTCTTTGTTTCTCCATTGGTGGATCTGAAAAGACTTTAGAAAACAAATTATCAACATGTAAAAATGAGTTATTCCATTTGGTATAATGAAAAATTAATGCCATGGCATACTATGTATTACGGAGAAAAGGTCTGAACTTCAAAGATCCACATTATTTCAAAGTTCAGGGTGGGTTTTTTGGATGTGGTTTTGGTTCAGGCCTATTTTTAGTCTACAATTTCACAATAGTTTGCTCTCCTTCTAAAGATTTTATTTAATTTGAAGTAGCTTTATAACTGTGATAGATAGGAATTGGGAAATATTCCCCTTCTACTAGTTTAATGGTCGGGATATTTACATTAGTTTCTAGAACTTTGTTAGGTCTTATTTATCTCTGTAAGAGGTTGATGCATTAAATCTCAGCAATCCTTCAACAATTCAGTGTCTCTGCACTACTGAAAAGCATTAAAATACATAACAGCAGTGTTTTAGCTTCACTGCTCATTAGAGCAGCACAGAACTAATAGTAATATTGTTGTAACTTGACAAAGCCATCTAAATCCGTGCGTGTTTTTTTGTGAAAGCTTCCTAAACATGCTGCTAAATCCTCTAAAAAGCGACTAACGGCTTTTGGCAACCATTAGCACAGCATAAGCAGTGGAACTCTTTTCAGTAAGTGAACAAACAGAGAAAATATGCTGAATGGCTGGACAAATGCGTTTCAGCTGGCTCTTTCATTTACAGATATAAGGGTGCAGTCAATATCAATCACTGTTTTCCCTGTTGCACTGGAAATCACAATATCTCTTTTCATTCCACAATCTCTTTTCACCACAGTAATGTGTCTTTAGAGTGACACTGGCATCAGTCTGTTTCCGCTGTCTGAAGTCCAGAGAGCTTAAAAACACATTTCAGAGTATGAGACCATAACCCTCTTCCCCTTCTACACACTTCTCTCTCCTTCCTTCCTTCCTTCTCCCAGCTTTCCTCTCTGAATTAATTGTATTTACTTCTTTCCCAGCTTAGGGTTTAAAGAGGAAAGTGGTCACAGGGATTTGGAGTATCTGTTCTTCTGGTTTAGCGACGGAGAAATGTCAGATTGTTTGTCACTGATCATTGGATTTTTAATTTATCAGGCGGTGCAGAGAATTTGAAAACAGTAGAGCAGCATATGGTAATTAAATTAGAAATAATAGTGACATTATGATTTGAAGTGTAATGGACTGAGGTCAGGGCCGGCTCCAGGGTTTTGGCCGCCCCAAGCAGCCAAACAAAAAAAACCAAACGAAAACAAAAAAAGCCGCGATCGCGAGCTGCGGCGGCAATTCGGCGGGAGGTCCTTCGCTCCGAGCAGGAGTGAGGGACCGTCCGCCGAATTGTCGCCAAACAGCTGGACGTGCCGCCCCTCTCCGAAGTGGCCGCCCCAAGCACCTGCTTGGTAAGCTGGTGCCTGGAGCCGGCCCTGACTGAGGTTTTAAGTTCAATCTATTATAGTTAGATTTTTCAGAGGTGCTGAGCACCCACGACTCCCATTCGATAGAAATCAAGCAGTAGAAGCTGGGCCACTGTAAAAACCAGGCCATCAGCATATACTAACATTCTTCTGTGATGACTTCATTTGTCATGTTTTGTTTCAGATCATGTTTGGTCTGGAAACAAAGGTGAATTTTCAGATTGAAAAAAATGTGTATAAATTATTTTTGTTTTTCATTTACAGATAACAGCAGTCTGCAGAGAAGCAGCCCTTCTAGCCCTCCAGGAAGATATACAGGCCAAATGTATTATGGGACGACATTTTCAACATGCATTGAGTATTGTGACCCCTAGAATTCCTGAGTCACTAAGACAGTTTTATGAAGATTATCAGCGGCAGAGTGGACTGCATACACTTTGAGAAATGAATATGTGCATTTTCACACTCACTCTGTGTGTGTGTGTGTGTGTGTGTGTGTGTGTATATATATATATATGTAATAATATACACACACGCTCATTTCACCTGTATACAGCAAATTTTCTTTACGTTCTTGAGAGCTTAGGAATTTCTTATTGTAAATGGAATGTCTGAAATTAACTCCATTGCAGAAATTTCATAGTAGAAGTCTTTTGTGTTGATTGTGAACTATGTGAATGCAGTGGAAATGGTTGAAAATTTTGTACCTTATAATAAAATGGTATAATCTGCATTATTATAATTTAGATTGCTGGTTTAAATCAGTTTTATCTGCAAATACATATCAGTCTGGGGAAAAAAAGGACTCTCAACTCAGTCATTTTTAGGCTGATCCTTGATCGTCTCCTTGAAAACATTTGCAACAGCAACAAGTGTCCCTACAGTCTTAATCTTTGTGTGTCTGGTTGTCAGTTCTGCACCAAGGAGCAACACAAAGACTGGGAGTGGCATGAATACATGCTGAAAAATATTCTGAAATCTTTGATTTATGACATTCAAAGAAGTTGCCAAACAAGCCTGCCAAACATTCAGCTTTCCTCTCTCCCCCTCTACCTCTCCCCCCCAAAGTTAAGGTGTTCCTAATTGATCACAGCACAATGTTTAACTTCAGTCTTGGACATCTTCCCTTTGCTTATATTATAAGGTAGGAATATAAATTAGAAGGGTACATTAGGCTTGTTATAAAGATTGGGAACATGGACTATTTCTAATTTGTGGTTAATTTATAACTATTTCCAGATGTCAGAGAGAGATTTTTTTTATATTTAAAAAAAAAAATCTGAGTATCTTGTTGATTGGGAAAATTGTGCATTTCTTACAGATCTATGTACATTTTTTTCTCTTTATAATATATATATATATATATATATATATATGTTCATGTTGGTATTTTATCTGATATTTAGTCTACCAAGCACTGTACCTTGATCTGTAGAGGACACATTGTAAAACATAATGGGAAAAAGTTGAGAGATGTTAATTACTTCTTGATACAGTGCATGTGTAAGACTTGAAAAATGTGCATTTAAACTGGACCACTAAAAATCTTTGAAATTTCCTAGAAAATCCAATGAGTAAAAATACCTAGTTGATAGAACTGATGCAAGTGGCCACAAAAATGTGGGGGTACAGATACAGATTTTTAAACCTATTTCATCACTGATTTATTTACTGAAATCATGGCAGGTTGTTTCTTAGACATGTATTCTTGTACCTTCAGTAAACAAGCTGATCAGGTAAAATTACTTGCAGGGTAATGAGCTATTGTATACCAGATATGACTAGAAAGGCAGATCGATTAAAAGCAATAATTAAAAGGGGGGCGAGCCAAAAGGTGATTAAAAACTGAAAGGATCTGACTTTATTTCAACAGATAATTGCATGGTTTGGCTAATGTTTCTTCCAGCTAAGCGGAAGTCCCTGTCGAAGCATTAGCCAAATCATGCTGTTACCTGTTGATGTCAAGTAAAATAGTTTCAGATTTTATTTTTGGTTTATTTTTTGGATTTATTGTTGATTTTGAAGAATTTGGCTTCTTATAGTAGTTCGATATTTGTTTATGCAAGAGTTTTATGTCTGTTTATGTCCAAACCTTCTGTTCTTTTTAAATAAATAAGCTTTTGATTTTGTTCAGACGATTTCTTTGTTCTGTTCAGTTTCTCTCATTAAATATAGTCTTTAAGGGACTACCCTTACCTTAAAAATCACACATCTGCCTGCTTTTTAACTTACTCTTGCTACAAGTAAAGTTTCAGATTTCTATAACTGAGAGAGATTAGAGGAGGAAAAAAGTAGTTGTGTACTTTTTAAGTTTGATGGTTCTTGCTGTATTGGTGGTTTCAGAGTTTCTCCAGTGTTGCTTGTGTGTGTCTTCTGCACCAGATGAGAAGAGAGAGAGAAAAATTTCAATAGGAAAATGCAAAAATTGGCAGAAGGATGCAGAGATAGATGTAGTAAATGAAACTAGTTTTAACTCATTTTCTCTAAAGTGGCTATAATTCAGATTGAGAGTATCCAAAGCATTTAGCATAACAATTAAATCCTAGATGTTTTCAAAAATTCAGTAGTCATACCATTATCCTTCTGAACTTTGTGTGTGTTTTGCAGAAAAGAACCATAGAACTTAGTCCTAACCTAACACAGTTCACAAATCTGGCCCCTAAATATCTACATGTTGATCTGGATGAGAGAAATCATTGTTGTCATTTCTTGGGAAGTGCTCAGATATCATGGTAACAGGGACCAAAATGAGAACCTGGACTGGGAGAAATAAACATGACAAGAGCTTGCAGCCCATTCCATAGGTGAGATTCCCATTTATATCAGTGTGATTTCCATTTGTTGTGAAGGCTGCAGAATTGGAATATCAGGCATTGGGGAAGGGATGGGATCTGGCACCCAGCCACCGATGGTGCCTGTGAAAATCTTCCCTTAGAATTCTTCATTAAATGCACCATCTTTCACTTCCCACACCTGATGTAGAGCTGTGTAAATTAATAAATGTTAAACTGGAAATATTTCCTCTTTTTGCCGGGCTTGTGGAATAGAAAAGGCAGTTTAAGTTTTATTGTAACTTGATTTTTTTAAATATGGCAAATTGGTGAAATTCATAATATATTTCTGTTTTGCAACTAAATATTTGTTGTGGAAAACTCAGCTAAATTTATGCCACTTGAAAATTTGCTTAATCCTGATAGTAGATAGTTTGTGGAATAAAGAAATGTATGATTGTGCATACCCAGTTCCTTATGAAAGGTACAGTCCAATGTTACAATTGAACATCAACATTGTACCATTTAATCAGAATGCTGGAAAAATAACAGGCACTTTGTGTTGGAAAATAATTTTGACGAAAGCCCATCAGCAACAAAAGAACTTCACAACCATTTTGAAAGTGCTTTGGAAAATACTTTGCCAAAACAGCTACTGTGCGTAGCTTGAATTTACATGCCAGAGTACATGATCCTGTAGCATGCACAGTGCCCACAACTGTTGGAGTTAATAGATGAGGACACAATAGGACAGAGCATTCCAAGGGTATTCTGTTAATGAATTATTTTTAAATTATCATTTTTAACCCATGAAATTGAGATCTAAACTTTTCATATCATGCTTCACTCAATATATCATTTATTGGCATTGCACTAATCTCTTAATTGTAGGAGACCATATAAACCTCAGTATTTCCACACCAAAGGGTAAGTTAAAGATGGAATTTTACCCGTAACTCCGAATGTCCTTGCTTCTAGTGAGTTATTCCCCTTCATATTGTTTGGGTACTTTTGTATGATTTAATTTTCATAATTATAGGTTTGGTGAACAAGAAAAATCCACCATGTAAAAGGTCATATCCCCCTTCTCTAGAAGTAGTTTCAGTACTTATTTCCTGACATTCTTTAGGGATAAGGCTTTTCTGTCTGTCCCCCCTGCCCCAATTATCTTTTGGAGCTTATCTTTGGCTCAGACACTGTTTGAGTTGTGGAATTGTTAACATTAAATCGGCTTTTCAATGTTTCAGGCAAACTGTGTTTAAATACAGAATTTAACTTCATCTTCCAATAACAACATCTTGTGAATGGTGTAAAATGTCTTTCAGCTGGTTTGCCAAAAATGAACAAAATGCTAAAATGTCTTTACTTAATTTGAAAAAAGTCCTATCTTGTATTTTTCCTAATGCATGGAACAGATTTTCACTGCAGCTACAATGTACAGTTTTTTAACTCTATGGAAAAAGAATGTAGTATATTAGCATGATTTTCCTTGAATCTCTACATGAGAATAGAATTTAATAGTTGGTTCGAATGCTAAGGGGAAATTTTTGGGATAGATTAGAGATTATTTTTGAAGATTATTCAAGAATATATAACTTAAACTTGTCTGTCCTACTGAATTTTTAATGTTTTAAAGTTGATTTTTCTGGCCTATATATTCTGGGTCTCATCTCTTGGTTTCTCTATTTATTTTAGATGTCAGACTGCAGTTCTGCTTCAGAAACCTAGCCTATATCAAGCAAAGCACTCCCATAACTAAGCATATGTTGTTTAGAGCTATTGAAGAACTATAGGAGAATACATTTTCTTATGGGGCATGCTTCAGATTCAATGCTTAAGGAGTGTAGATGAGGGTCATGAGAGAGCAGTGCTGCTGAGTGTGGTTCTGTAAAAAGAACTAGGCTGAGGGAAGTGAGCACTGCAAGTTGATAGTTAGGAAACACCCCTCAGCTCAGTACCATTGAGGCATTGAAAAATGGCCTGATAGACATATTGATTTATTAGAACTACTGGACACATTTGTGTCTGGCCCTCATGGAGCAAGAGGTGATTCAGTGGATGAAACAATATTGCATTTAAAAAACTGGATTTGCAAAAGTATTCAGTGATTTGGAGTGGCTCAGTTTTTTTTGGTGCCAATCGTGAAACTTCTCAGAGGAACTTGACTTTCAGAGGTTGGGTACTCAGCTCTTTCTGAAAATTTAAGCCCCTCTTAGGGATCTCAATTTGGGCAGCCAAAAATTGAGGCTCACAAAATCACTAGTCACTTTTGAAAATCTTGGCCAAAGTTTCCCAAACAAATTGGCCAAGCTAATGATGAAGAAATGTAAAAGGTTTGGCTCATTTAATATAAACACAGCAAATTTGGACACACAACTGAATTTCTCTAAAGCTGCTGAGGGGACCCCTTAATCCAGCCTTCTATATAGTCTGAGCAATTACATGCCAACTTTTATAAAATACTATTTTTTACCAAATCATGACTAAATAATTGGTTTCTGATTAATCTCAAAAAATTTACATTTTATGTAAATGCAGCAAATTTCTAAAAGGATTTCCTAATATTGCTATTTTTCCCACCACATGGAATCACGATCTAAAATAGTCTCCTTTTTTATTCAACTCTCAGATCATTGTATTTCTTTACATTGTCATACTTCCTTCACAACATTGTAGCGAAAGGAATTGCACCATGGATGAATTTGGCCAGGTGTTTAAAGTACATTGAGTTCCTCAGATGAAAGGCTCTACATAACTGCAAAGTTTTATTATTATGCACATGTTTTGAAAATCTGTCTCAAGTATATTGTGCTTTTAGTTCTCACATTTTAGAACCCTAGCTTGAGTGCATAAACCTAAGCCATGTTCTCTTCTTCTGATGGTGTGAAAGGACCAGAAAACCAGCCAATCTCCTTAGCTGACATAGCCCATTCCTACAGCACCACCATTGCATGCAACCTCAGCATTGGTGACGT